CAAGTATAAGTGAAGTTGAGCAGCAACTATCTTATCCAGAACTTTTGACAAAAAGTTAGGTCTGTAATTGCTGAGTTCCTGTGGATTCGAAGTAGTGGCCTGATTACTGCTACATTAAGTTGGTCAGGAACATCACCTGATAACAGGGACGCATTCATTATGGAAGTTTTAGGTCTCCCCAGAACTCCCAGGGATTCTTTAAGAAGCTTAGTGGAGATTGTGTCCAGTGGGCAAGTGGTTGGTTTGATCTTAATTATAAGTTTTTAGCTCTTGTTCATTAATTAATTCAAAAGCATTAAGGGTGTGTTCACGTTCTGCTTGCTGTGAAGTTAATCATCAACTATTTGAACAAATTTGAAGCCTAATGTTTGTAATTTTATCATTAAAGAAGTTCATAAAATGTTGGCTACTTAAATGAGCTATTGTTTTAAAAAGGTAGCGAGGGTTATTTCTGTTGTGATCAATAAGGTTAGAATAATAGGCTGAACGTGCCCTATAAAGGGCTTGTTTGTATTGTTGCAGGCTGTCAGACCAGCTAACTTGAACACTTCTAAGCCTGTGGATTTCCATTTGTTCCTATAATAATAGGAAGTACCTATTATTATTACTTGCCATGTTTTGGTATAACATAAATGATCCTCTCCAGTTAAGATGAAGACTATCCCTCATGTTTGTAAGAGCGTGTGTGATCATTAAACCTTGGGGAGTGTCAGGTGGTTTTTACCACTTTATTTCTCAAAGGAGCAGTTTCATCTAAAATCTGCTTAAGCACTGTATTTAAGTCATGAGTGACTTCATTGACATCTTCACTAGACATGAAGTTCACATTACTGCACTAATAAATCGTAGGGAATTTCTATCATTTACATGACGTGTCCTAATAATCTTCTCTGCCATAGTCAAAGAGGGTGGCTCAAGAAAATGGTCGGAGAAGGTGACTTAGAAAATGGTCAGAGAAGGATTTATTCAATGGACAGACAGATACATGATGAGCATAAATTCCGTGAGTTAAAATCAAGTCTAGTATATGATTGTGAACATACGTTGGTTGTGTGGCGTGTTGGTAACATTCAACAGAGTCCAGGAGCATTGCTTCAAATGCTGTAAAATCTTTCATGATCTTGGGTTCAATTTTTAATAGTGAGTTAAAAATAGCTGCCAAGTCGCCTCCATGCCCAGAGCCATGTGGTTTCTGTATGAACCTAAACCCATCAGATGAGGCTTCAACAAGAGGTATGGTGTCTGTGGGTTGGAGCCAGGTTTCAGTTAAAATACACGTCTGCTCCAGTGACAAGCACCATATCATTAACAAGAAGTGATTTCTCTCCTAAAGAGCAAATGTTCAATAGTGCACATTTTATGATGAGTTAATGTTGTGACTCATTCAATCTTATTAATGGGATTGATATTAAGTTATCCAAACAGGAGCCCCCAGTGGAATGTTTAGATCTAAGTCTTGGTCTAATACTACTTACAATACTCTTTCTATTCTCACTCAACTCTGTTTCTAAATAGTTGCTAGACTTGGGGGATCCCATGTGATGGAGCACCTGGGTCAAGGCCGAACATGATCTAAAGGTGGGAGACTAAACAGCCTTCGATTTAAGCTCACAATGCTGAGGCCTGCGTGTGCTCTCAGTCAGGCAGGTATTTTAGGGGCAGTGTGTGACTCAGTGGGCTGTGCCTGTAATCAGAAGGTCGCTGGTTCAAACCCAGCCTCAGTGCATTTGCGGGTCCTAAGAGCTCTATAGGCCCTTAGCCCCCAGCTCCCTGGGCGCCCCAACAGGTGGCTGCCTTTAACAGCCAGCTTACTCTACAACGAGCAAGTTGAGGGAGGCATAAAGACAATTTCCCCACAGGGATCAACGAAGTACCTATTATTATTACTTGCCATGTTTTGGTATAACATAAATGATCCTCTCCAGTTAAGATGAAGACTATCCCTGTTATAATAACCATGCCATTGGAAAAAAAAAGCTTCCAATTATCAATAAAGGCAATGTGTTGAGATGAACACATGAGGAGAGTAGCCTACTATAGGTTACATCCCTTCTTTGGAGAGTTGGTAAAGACCAGAGACAATTAGAGTCTTTTGTTTTAGCTTTTGCACATATAGAAATGAAGCTCCTCTTTAATACCTCGGATTGTTGGGACTTTATATCATTAATTACAGTGTGATAACCAAGGTGGAGACTTCAATGCTGCAGTGGGAGTTCAATTTTGATATCGGAAACTCGGGCATTTTACAGAAACCGCTGCTTTTCGATTGTTAGCAACTGTAACGTTTCTAATGTTTCTAACAATCAAGTCTCCAATCAGGTGCACCTTTTCCACTTCGGCAGACATACTGCCGAAAGCAGAGAGTTTGCTGCTAAGCACAACAGCCAACTGGCGTGCAGGGGCTTTCGGCTTAGAGCTCTTAGGACCACGTCTGGCCGTGACCCAAGTCTTTCGTGTGCTGGCTGCCGGTGCCAGAGCCGGACTGGAGACAGTCATGGCAGGAGAAATAAATGGCAGATCTAATCTGGCTGTGTGCTCCGAATGAGCCGTATCTATAAATCCCTTGATCTGTTTCATCTCCACTAAAGTGCTAATGTGCTCCCCTCCAATGCGCAAATCCTGCACTCCAACTTCACAATAACTAAACACTTCTGGCATACTATACTGTTGGGAGTGTTGGAAGGACAGTCTACACTGTACATACCACAGGAGCTACAGAACACAGGTGTAGAAGACATGGCCCTTACCTTTTTGATTTCAAGTGGGGATTGTCGCTTAGCCAAGATGATTAATCCGTCGGCGTATCGGAGTTGGTAGACTAGCGAAAGATTATATAACTTGCAGAGTTTTTTCCTTCCGATGGCTTTATTAGAGTTATTATTTGAGTGATATCTACAGTTTGCATGCTACCAATCAGTTTTGCTCTCGCAGGAAACAGCAGAAATGACAAAAAAACATTCAACAATGATTAGTATCTAGTTATTTTGAGATTTGTGGAGGTTATTTCATCTGGGTCTCTGACAGACATTCTTATTTGATAGATTGTTGATGCTCAGTTAAATCTACACATCAGCTACTTATTTTATTTTATGTACGGTTGCTAGGCAGAGCATGAACATATGAATGATGATTAAATAATGAAATAGAAATAATTTAAGAGGTGAGATATATTCTGTACATCTATAATTTATAGTTTGAAGGTATGCTGGCATAAGTGTGCTGAACCCATCACAGTTTCACAGACATTACTGTTCATTGTACCTGTAACGATGCTGCTGGTTTTAAATTGTTATTTTGTTTCTACATGTGGATTATTTATATCTTCTTTACATACAATGCAGTTATTGGCACAACATTCTGACTTTCATCCTCCAGGTACAAACTGAAGCAAAAGAATCAATCGAAAGCATCTTTATCACACCCTATACTCTGGACAGTATGACAGTATCGCCATCAAAACCCTGCCCGGCTAAAAGGTCTCAGCGATTATACTCAGATCTGATAACACATATTCAAATGTAACATTTACCCATTATAAATAACGCTGAAGTCCCTCAGCAAAAAAGTAAAAGTCATATTTGAACACTGGACGCTCTGCGCCAGGGCGCCAGGCCTTTACCATAGTGCACGTCATTCTTTTTGCTTTTGATAACTACACTTTTACAGACACTTTTACAGTTTTTCTTATTCGGTTATTTTAGTCCGCAAACGCCAAACGGTGCCGTCCAAAGCACAGTGTGATGCTGTAAAACTCCCAAGTTGAAGAATCCGTGGAGAAAACTACCCATTTGAAATGAATGTTTATAAAAGTAACCTTTTGCGCCTCCTAATTAGGACCTTGCTGGGAGATGTAACCTTAACCCAGCCTTTTCAAAAAATTACGTGTTGACATAAATTTCAGGGTCGGGAATACATTTTCATGCCACAATAGATTTCCATTCCAAAAGCACAGGGCTAAAAGGAGACACATTTCAACATGTATACAGCAGTAGCTTTAGGCTCCAAGAAACTCATTAATGCAACATTCTGGGATTAATGGCACACGAGACCGCTTCTGTTTTATCTATAGCCTGTCGTCCCATACATTCACAGTCTCACAAAGCTGGCCTTCATCTCAACAAGAAAGGGCTTGAAACGTCAGACCTCATAAATATATGGATTCTTCCTGGTGACTGTCCTATGTCCAGGACTCCCCATACAACTCTGATTTTATGTCAGATCGAGGAAACAGTCCTTTGTCTGCGGATGACATTTTAAAGGGGGTCTGTCTCCAGATGTGCATGATCTTTGGATCTCCATGGTGACAGAAGGGTCAGAATCTCACATTGTCTGAGATGCACGCTGGGACACTTGGCCTAACCTTTCAAAGAATAAAAAAGGAACTGCACCAAAAAAGATACAGTAGCATTTGGTGTATTAGAGATTGGTGATTGAAGTGGTATTGTGTATTATAATATGATAAATAAACAATGAATGTGTTTTAATTATATTTAGTGTAAAATTGCTGGACTATTGCTCTTCCTAAGAGAGACAGGCTTTTGTACCTGTCCCACTCAAGGAAACATTTATACTTTGAACTGTAGAGTGTTTCACTCTAAATATAAAAAATGCCCAAGTCTTTCAAGCCCAGAAATGTTAGTCTCCAGGCTCTCCGTGATACTTTGACCCTAACTGACAGCATTCTTGTTGCTCTCTGATGGAGAGGGTGCTATATTTACCCTGAAGCTGCTTCTTTAGACATCCAGCAGCACCCACATCTGTCACACTCACACTCACTCACCATCCTCACGCCACTGAAAAAGCAGAGGTTTCGGGGATTATGTGTTGTTGTCTGGCAGCTTACCTTGCTGAACACATAAATCCTGTTTCTTGCTTAGAAGTCACTAGTAAACTGCAGATGACTCAAAATTCCACTCAATCACATGTTTGTGCAGTGCCAGTCTAATTGTGATTATTTCAAATATATTATTGCAGATACATTTATGATTATTATTTCCACATTAAAAGAAAAAAGCATTTTATTTGTTATAAGATCTTCCTATAAGACTTTTTATAACAGCCTGTCCAGCTCCTAAAGCTCAGCAAGTGGAGCATTGCAGGGAGTACATGTAAACTGTGACCCTTCCCTACTATAGGTATATAAATAAATGAATAAATAAATGTAAATCATTGAATAACCCCCAGATTCAACAGTTTAAAGGTTATTTAAGCATGGCAGCCATTCCATCCATCCATCCATCAGTCCCGCATTCAGGACAGAGCCCATCCAGGAGACACAGGATCCAGGCAGACTGCTCTTTGCAGAGAATGCCAGTCGATTAGAGGCCACACCTGCACACTCTGGACAGAAGCAGCTACAGAAACTGAATGGATTAACATTGCAAAACAGATTACCTTGCACTACACTGAATAGCAAAATTAACATAGTTGGAAAAGAATGCTTGCATGACATTAAAGAATCTGTTTGGTGAAAAAATGATGAAATACTTAACAGGGGCTTTAATTTTTTCCTGTCTGATCTATCCGGAACCCAAGCCCCCAGTCGGGTGCCAGCTAGGGCACTCATGCAGAGGAGACCATGCTGCATACCAAGCAAGACAGGCATTGATCTGCAGCATCACACACAGCATCTGCATTTACATCATATACAAAATGTCAGTTTTCCATCAAATTCCTAGGGCAGCAGAATGTAGTGTAGTGGCCCTTTGGAGAGCTGAAAAGCGATTTAAATTCTGCACCATATGCATGGTCAGGACCGAAACTTCTGGACAGAAGTGGGCGGAGGCTCTGGTTCCTCAGACTTGTCACCTTTCACCCTCATACCTACAGTGCCGGCTGCCAGCCGCGGTGACTCTGACCTCACTCACAACCAGACGGCAAGTGTAAGAGCCAAGAGACATCAGACCCTCTCAAGAGCGGCCACTCAGAGGAGGGCTGACAGGGTGGGCCTCACCCTTGAGCTAGGGCAGGGCAGAGGAGGCTGTTTATTCTTCTACAATTAATGACTTAACTAAATGAGGCCTGTCCTCAAAAAATGTGACATTATTTCCAAGGTTAGTTTTTCAGCATTTTCATCATCATCAGGCTGTCAGATGTGGGGAGAGGGTCTCTTGTGTGTTCCTTATCTTTTCTTCTCATTCTCCCCCTCTGGTATGTTTCTACTGCAGCTCTCAGAGTCCCTTTTCCTCCCTTCTGTATCTGTTTGATAACCTGCATGGTGTGATTATAACAGAGGGAGCAGGTTAGGGTTAGCTGTTGTGAGACTGAGACCTGAAGACTGGGTAGGCCGGTTCATTGGTCCAAGTTGTTCTTCACTTTCTTTCTTCAACAGATATTTCTTGTGCAAATTTGTCACTTTGTTATCCTTCTGTCTTGTCTAATGAAGTACTGCCCATGCTTTTGACAACTGCTATGATAGCCATACTGATTAACATTTCCTGGGATTTGATAAAAATGACTAACTCCTGAGTTAAAGATGAGGGTCATCTAAACACTGCAACCTCATCCCTCTTAGATGCCTTGTGAATCTCCCAGTGAATTTTGGTAAACAGCATTTAACTTCCAAAAATCTGTAAATTTATTAAAAAAAAGTCAAACATGTGTGTGTTATCTATTATTCAAGATGAAACTCAAATCAAAGATAAAAACACTGGAACGATGATACTGTAAACTTCTGGTATTATACTGAAAAATGATTAATTGGCTATGTATTTTCTGATTGATATACAAATAATCAGTCCTGCAGTATAAAATCCTGAAAAATAACTATTGAATTTCTTTGTATAGATGACACTGAATCCTGTCATTCAGACACCTTTACGCTATAGCAATCAATGTCCTGATGAATCTAGAAGAGCAAGACAGTGATGCAGGAAGATCACACCCATGCAGGCCATGCTTTAAAAGATGTGTGTGCGCACACACTCACACTGTCGGGTATACCTATCCTTATGGGGACCGCTCATTCATTTCTATGGGAAAAATGCTAACGCTAACTATGACAGCCTTAACCCCCATCCAGCCGTAACCATAACCATAAGTAACAAAACAAAATACATGAATTTTTGCATTTTTAATTCTTTCATTGCAGTCCCCGATTTTTATAAAATAGTTTTCCCCCTTATGGGGACCAGGAAACCAGTCCCCCTAACAGAAAAAAAACAGTCATCATAAGGATAGGTATACCTACACACACACATGCACATGTTTGTATTCATATCTTTGTGGGGAGTGTCCATTCATTGCTACTGGCAAAAGCCTAATGCCAACAATGACATCTTATCTTAATCTTATGAATCTTAACCATTTGGTCCCCACAATGTAATATATACATACCCCACACACACACACACACACACTAAACAATGAAACCATGTAGCAAGACAAGTAGTGATCATGTTGCAGCTCAGTAGTGACTTTCATTAGTGTTATCCTGTTACACAGTCTCTTAGCCTCAGGTATAGGTCACTAAGTCTCTGACTGAATAAATGAAATATCTCACAAACTGGGGGGGTAGGAATGACTGTCTGGTAAACAACTAAAAATAGGGGAAGACATCCTGTCATGTTGTCATCGTCCCGGGGCTGGTGAGAGATCATGCAAGCTGGTGTCCTGGGTCGATGGGGGTGGGGGGGGGGGGGGGGGGGGGGGGGGGGGGGGGGAAGAGGGGGCTTTTCATGAAGGCTACCAAAAGGAAAATTCTTGCTTCCCCCAGGAAATTTGGAACGAGAGCTTGGTGTTTATGAGGGCCAGAAGGAGACTGGGCCGTGGTAGGGAGTGAGGAAGGGCTGAGCGCATCAGCACTTAACCTGTCCCCTGATGGTGGACTGAGGGCGAGGCCAGAACAGACGGCAGCAGCAGGACACCAACTTACAGATACACAGACTCACAGAGATACGGCCAGGTGTCAGTCTGGGATCCACTGTGCAAATAATTAAAGTTCAAGACAGACTGGGCTGTGCTGCTCTCAGATGTGTTTATTCCTCAGTCTCACCGCCCAAAGTCCCTCCCCACAGTCCAGTCAGCCATGCCCTAAACAAGCCTTCCATTTATGCAGCGACTGCTGTGCTCCTTCACCAGGTAAAATCACACGATAATGGCCATAGTCCTCAAGTCTGTATCACTGACAAAATGTTCTTCAAGACTGAAGATTTTTATTGACCATGTGAAACGGGTGCATTGGGATGCTTACTCGTTCAGCCATACTTGGTTACAAAGAGACTAAAGAAAGGGTAAAACAAGGCGAAGTGGATATCTCCGCAAGACAGTACAGTGCAAAAACTATGCATGACAGTGCAAAACAATACAGACGTTACAAAACAGAAACAGTGCAAAACAAAACAGACAGTGAAAAAACAACAGACACTGCAAAACAAAAACGATTTATATATATAATATATATAACACACACACACACGATCATTGATTGCATACCACACAACAAAATGTGTCCTCTGCATTTAACCCATACAGTATGTGACATAGGAGGGGGCAGCTAATTGAGCACCCTTGGGGGCAATACCATGCTCAGGGTACCTCACTGGTCAGCAATCTTTCAATTACAAAACAAAACAGAAAAATCTTGGAAATGTTGTTAATGTCTGCTTGATTGTGGCAGGGGTATTCACGGCCAAGGACTAAGTTAGGGGTCTGTGACCAGCAGAGTAACCCTGTGTATGTATATATGTGTATATATATATACTGTATATATATATATTTCAGCAGTTGTTCATCCATATACCAAGCATTGTGTATAAGTTTCATTTTTTCTTTATATTTTTACTTATATATTTATACAGCTCTCCCAGGATTAAAAAGAGCCACCATAGCAGACAGCTCACTCAAAACTGAGCCTCATTCCACAGCAAACAGACTCTGGCACGGGGCTGCACAGCCAGCTCATTGGTATGACTGGGTGGCCCCCACAAAGCACCTTACAGCTGGTCAGCAGAACGACTCCCAGTTGTATCGGAGCACATGGCCTCTTCACAGCTGCTATTACATCTACCTAATGTGGCCAATTCTGCCATCTTAAACTGACTTAACTGTCACTAATCCCACCCCTGAAATTTCTTTTTTATGGGTGGCATGTGGCTCAGTGCCAAGGGCGGAGATGTGGGTATGGACAGTAGGGACACATCCCTACTAATATTGTAGGAGTATCTTGTGTGTTTAGGCGGGTGGGAGATGATTTGGTCTCGATCAGTGCTGAAATCAAACCTGCACCCTTGCTTATTGGGTTAGGATTCTCTGCTCATGATCGGAAGGTTGCTGGTTCAACTCAGACTGATGCTGCTGTTGGGCACCTGAGCAAAATACTTAACCCCCAGCTTCAGGGGCGAAGCACGCTGACTGACCCTGCACTGTGAATCCCAAGCTTGCTCTCACCAGTATATGTGTCTGCATGTACTGTATATGGGGTAGGCAAAAAGAAAACTTTCCCCATAGGGATGAAAGGAATATCACTATTGTATTCTAATGGTGAACCTAATCCTCCAGAGGCAGTTAATTCAGTGGCAATTAATAAAACAATGCATTTGAAATGGAGCCAGTAACTTACTAGTCAAAGCCCATCTAGTTACAGAAGCACATTCACCTTGAATTCAGTTCCTCTTGATGCTGTAGCATCTGCATCATAAGCAGTACCACGCAATTCCATATGTCTCTCAGCCAGACTGGTGAATATTCAGTCGCCTCTCCGGAGTTTTGGTTATTCACAAGTTGGCCTTAAATAATTAAATTAGAATTTTTTGGAGCTTTCCGAAAGATCACAGAACAACACATAAGCCAAACACAATACTGAAAATGATCAGGACCACAATAAATCATATAATATATAAATATTACTGATGCATAATATTTGTTTGTCTAAGATCATACTATATATTATGTATTAAAAGTCATGGTTTGGGTACACCACACATCTTTGTCTCACACACATGTTAGCTATCTTTGCATTTTTAGTAATAGGTCCAAAAAGTAGTTCTCCCAGTGCATACAGTAGTAACTTTATACAGGGGTATATTATATGGAAAAGTCTAGACACAAAAAAATGACAACGCATTTTTATATGCATAGTGTATAATACGGTGCAATTTGTTTAGAGAAAAAATAGACTTTATATGTTATCACTAGCAGAGTGTTATGGGTTGAGTTTAGGGATTCCCAAGTATTATTTGTGAATTTTCACATTTGTGAGGATCTTCTGCCCTTAAAACCTGCAAATGTGAAGGGGACATTACTTTATAAGAGTGTAGGTGGTACCCATTTAGTTTAAGGTCTGCTCCTTAGCAATTAATAAACTGTTACCAATCATTTGATAATTTGTTACAATCAAATTTAGAAAATTGCATCACAAAGATATCTTACTCCTGCTCACATAGTATTCACTAAAAAGCTTGTAAATGCCCAATTATAACTAATTTCTAACCTATTGTTTTATATTTACAAGCTATTTTGTAAATATCTGGTTGTCTAAATTTGTTTGAAAATGAAGCTTTTTTTGTGAAAATTTACTAATAGTTAAGGAGCAGATTTTAAACTAAAGTGTTGCCTTGTAGGCATCACATCATTAATGTATACAATGGTGAGCCAAAGCAATATGACCACCCCCACGTGAAGCGAATAATGTTGACTATCCTGCAAAAATGGTGCGTGTCTAGGTCTAGGATATTAGACAGTAAGCTAACACTTGGCACTCGTAGTTAATATATTGAATGCAGAAGGAATGGGCAGGGATAAAGATGTGAGTGATTGTGATAAGGGCCATATCATTATGGCCAGGTGGCTGGGTTAAAGCATCTCTGAAACAGCAAGGTTTGCGGGGGGCTCATGGTCAGTCGTGACGGGCACCTACTGAGAGGAATCTGAGGAGGGAAAAATCACGAACCGCCGACAGGGGGCTGGCAGCCAGGACTCATCAATGCGGGATGTAAATGAGGGCTATCCTGTGTAGTATGAAGCAACAGACGGGCACAAATGGTAAATCATTTTGATGATGGCCATGGGAGTAATGTGTCACGACACAGCGCATCGAGCCTGGCTGCATATGGGGCTGCGAAGCCACAGACCAGTCAGAGTGCCCATGCTGAGCCCTGTTCCCCATCAAAAGCACCTACAATAGGCACAAAAGCATCACAACTGGACCTTGGTACAATGGAAGGTCATCTGGGTGGATGAATCCCATTTTCTCTTGCATCATGTGGACCTCC